AACTTGTTCTTATCGATTTTATTAAGGGATCGCGGAATCTCATAATAATAACGATGTATGAGCAAGGTTTAAGTTTCAATAATATTCAACAGGTAACTTGTTCTTATCGATTTTATTAAGGGATCGCGGAATCTCATAATAATAACGATGTATGAGCAAGGTTTAAGTTTCAATAATATTCAACAGGTAACTTGTTCTTATCGATTTTATTAAGGGATCGCGGAATCTCATAATAATAACGATGTATGAGCAAGGTTTAAGTTTCTCAGTACCCGACGCATTGCAACAAAGAAGAATCGTTACACGATTTTCGATTTCTTAGTGCTGATGACAGCAACGTCCTCGACGCTATAATACACATAATGAACACGTTAGATGAAGGAATAAACATATGGAGATATGAAAACTCAGATATGCAAATCGCAATTGAAAATGTCACGCTGATCATATTCGCGAAGCACTTCACGGAGCTTAATACGCTCTTGATCCATTCTCTATAATTGAGCACTATTTCCCCTCCCCAAAAAGTGTTTAAGAAGATCGACAGTAACGGTGATATTGTCATGAACGGCGCGCGTAAACCATATTGTTAACGCCTCTTCAACCTCAGGATATACAGTAATGGTCTGCGTTCTCTTTTTCTCTTTGATCAAATGTCATCATCATTAACGGCCGTCTCGTTTATTCCATATATCTGAAACAGTATTTTGTCTAATCCCATATTGATATGCAACATCAGTTTGGTTTGGAGTAGGCTTTTGAGAAAGTAAAGTACATATGTCATGAGTTAATATAGCTCGTAGGAGCGAAAGGCTCGTTTTTTCTTGAGTTTTGTGTGCGTTAAGAAAAATCAACCAATCAGAATGCTTGACATCATTCCCAATTTAGGGGTAGGCTAAAGCGGAGTAGTTTTTTTACAATTTCATTGGTTGATATACAAATTTGACCAATGTAATTGCAAGAATCAGGTCACGTTCTACTCCGCTTTAGCCATCCTCCCAATTTAGTAAATGTTACACAATTATCGTAGTAAATGCTAAGGTTTATTATTATTATAATTTATATAACGGGGAAAATTTTCTATCTAAATTTGGGAGCGAGCGTTTCGAATGTGACATACTAAGGGAAATTGATGTATTCGTTTCATTTCCTGTTTCTGTCTAAAAATGAAAGCAAGAACAAAAAGAGGGACAAGAAATAAAAAGAACCTCATGCTTTATTGCTGGTAACTACATCAACCTCTGAATAAGTAGTCTTTTGTCAGGAGCATCCGGTCATGTGTTTGTGTCCCGTCAAAGCTAGAGAGTTCAGGAATTTCTCTTTGACTTCATAATCATTTCAGATTTTATCATGCACACTTGCACTCACAATCCCTGCGAGTTTATCAAGATCAATGGTTTTGCCAATAAATGGTAATTTTATAAAGTTACTGCGGTTACGCATGTTGTGTCTGAGTTCGAGACATCTGAGACAGGTCTCCCTGAGGTACAACACGCACAGACCTGCTATGCATTATGCATAACAAATATAGCAAAATGATCGACAAAAAGAGATTAGTGTCAAATCACATATCGATATTGGAAAACGGTATATCGCATACAACAAATCAGCATCAATAATTGTCTTTCCAAAATAAATCATCTGCATGTAAACGATGCTCTACATGATTTACTATTTTGAGCATAAGTAGCGAAGGTTATGTTAGAATTCCTATATTTGCAAAGTTTATAACAAGCACGCAACTAATTAACTGTGTGGCGAGATACAGTATCTTCTTATTGTTTCAGATTGGGCGATAAAATTTACAGGGAGTTTCTTAACAACAAACGACATTAGTAGCAGACACTCGTGTATTTTCAAGCTAAAGGCGACTTGCCGTCCTATAGAGAACACGTGAGTACATTTTACGCAGGTTAATGTTGCTCTGGAAATTAAATTCTGTCTTGCCAGCAAACGCGCATATCGTTAATAGTAATTTATCTTTTTCTTTCAACACACCTGAGTCTAAAGTAATGAATTGCCGGTTTTATTAAAAAATTTATTTCTGTGATTCGGTAATATTAAATAAAAAGTAATAACTCACAATTGGTAAAATTATAACACATTTGTTAAGAAAAACGTATAAAAATAACCTAGAACCAATTGTTACATAATAACATTAAGCATCAACCCAACATCGAGACAAAAAATAATATAATTACACTCAATATATGTTTGTTTATCAAAATTACATTCAATATATGCTCATGCCACAGCAAAGATTGGAGAAGACTGGGTAGCAGGAACTGCAGTGGGGAGGTTTATATTAATAGTGTGAGCAGTACGAGCAGAGAGTCCATCATGAAGTTCGATTATTATCTCTGCATACTCGGCGTATTTTGGCGTGGCCTTTCCTTTACCGTTCGAGTCCACTTTTATGCTATAATGGGTGAGAGTTTCACGCCATACAAGCTTCCAATTAGCAGTTGGGTATGCCGTTAGATTGAATTGATCGAGCAGAGGTTGCATAGCCTGAGTAAATGCTTCGGCGCGATTCTTTGCCATGTTATCGACTATTTTTCGTCCCGCCAAAAGCGCGACACCAACCAAGAATTGGAGGATAAAACAGATGAGAGTAATATTTATTCCGCCGCCTCCTTGTTTAAACATTGTGGTAAATGTAGCCATAACAAGAAGAAAGATGATGGTCACGAACATTCCTCCGAGAACGTATGTAAGACATTTCTTTGACTTTGCACTTAACAAAGGGTAGGCTTTAATGTAGTTATTAATTTGCGATAGTTGACTTTTGAGTTGCTCGGCACTAAGGTATCCATACAAGTCAAGACACCAATCTGCCTTAAAGCTATGGGCAGGTGCGAAACAGTCACAACCAGGAACGTCATCTTCGGTGAGGGGAATAATAACAAGCTTCATTGTGCGCGTAACAAAAGTTTTATGGATGAAAAGAGCTGAGAGACTGGTCCTTATATATTACAATTGGGCACAAGCCTCAATAATGGCAATGTCGAAATCGCTGCTTACGAAAATGTTTTACAGTAATATCCGATGTAACGGATGATTTGTTAGATTGCAATTTCTCAATGCATGAATACCCCTCGTTTGCAGAATAGTAATAAGGTTTACACATGGACTGTATGTTCAAATACAATGGATTTCCTCTTTGGGCAAAAATTGATTAGCTAATTATATTTTTAAGCTCTGTCTATCCAAATAAAACGTTCCAATAAGAATAGATTTACATCAAATTGGTAATCTTGCTACCTATTTGCTTTTTTGCCGACTTAGATAGCGAAAAACATGCAATTAGTTCTACCGACTGATGAACGCTAGGCAGACGCTTTGATAATATAAAAAGAGAGAATTTATTCTTCACATTCTTATCGTTTGTTCTAACTCAATTGTTCTGCGTCGCAATTTTTTCCCCAGGCTTTTAATGTGCTTAAACCACTTGGCTCTGCACTGCCCCTCAGTATACAATGTGTAACAGAAACAAAGAATATCATTACGCTATGTCAATTGTAACGTTATACTTTAAAAGAAAGCATATAATTCGTACATCATTGACAAGCGCTTACGCTTTTGCTCAACCGTTACTTCACATGTTCACTGCGCACTGAGCTGATCAAGGCAATCGAATTTGTTTGTGGAATCTCTTCCACAAATTGCTTTAATTCTTTCCATATGCTTGGCATCCTTCTCTTAACGTTATATTTTTAGCAATTCCGCCAATTAAAGTGTTAGATGTGGATCAGACTTACATTTTCCTTGAATACTCTACTTGTATACTTGGAGGCATTGTCTTGTTAGAATATCACCTTTCAATAATCTGAAATATTCCAAGTTAAACTATCAACGTATTTTTCTTTCCCCTTTGCACAAAAATTCCAAGCAAAGCATTCGTCTAATGTTTTTGCAAAGGATATGTTTGTCTTTCAATTGGTGCCACCGTTCCCATTTATTGCTGATTTTACACCAGAACAACTTTTGTATGGATTACATATTATTCATTCAAGTGAGCAGCTCATTAATATCCTTTGCTGCTTGTTATCTCATATCTGTTTCTCTACCGTTACTCAAAGTTGGTATCCGATCCGAACAGCATCTAATACTATACTCCCCATGCATTTCAGTAAACGAATCTGTTGTGCCGTATATAATATGACATACCGAACTTTTTAATGAGCCCCCATTTTAGCACACCGAATTGTTAATAAAAACTTCATTAAACAGGTATTTATTTATTCAAAAACGCTTTGTCATAAAACCATCTTGTTGACCCGTGTCTTTTGTAAGAAATTAATAAATTACGTTAGCTTTGTCCCCTGAATTAGTTAGTGTGTGGCTCCAAGACTAGACAAATATCTTTCATAGTTAAGCCTTAGATGATTGGATAGAATATACTGTTCAGAGCTTGGAAGTTTCTACCAGAATTTTCTTTGGTCAAACCGGTTTCTTATGCTCCCCCCCTAAATTGTTGTAAGGGGCATTTTGATTATACTTTGATTTCATGCGTACGTAAGCGTAGTACAACCAGACGCTTGCGCTTCTTTACCAGAATTTATTCAATAAGATCACAACCAAATATTGTTATTTTCTAAAACACATAAGTAAACGATAAGTCGGACACTCGATAGTCGGACACAATCTTTCTGCCCTTTTTTTCTTCATATCCTCTCGATAAGTCAGATTTCTTGACAAGTCGGACAGCCAACTTATCGCTTATTATGTAAAGCAAATTGGATTATCACGTAAACAAATGTTGTGCGCTCATCGAGCCAATCGAATTTGGCAATGCATAGCAAAAAAGAAAAGGGGTAATACACCATTTGGCTATCTGATTGTTTGACCTTCGATGGCTCGATACCATATTTGGTAAAAATCTCCTTTTTAGAATATGTGATATGCCAATTGGTGATGTGAAGAGGCAGTGATTTAATATTTCACGGAATAAGCTTTGTCTGATTGGCGAATATGGTTTGTGCTACCAAATGTGATTAAATCATATCTAGTCTAGCCCAACGATAAACTGATTTCCAAAATGGATTGGCTCGATGAACTGGTGAGGGCGCCCATTATTTTTGTTACATACTGTCATGTAAGCATTGATATAGAAATACGATACTCACTTTTTACAAGACAAATTGCCTTCACTATTGTTATACGCAGTATAAAAGACGTCTATATTTAAACCAATCAGTACAATGTAACGAAAACGCAGACGTGGTTGGTGAGGCGGTGACAATTTTGATGATAAAAGATAGGATTAAATGTTGTTGTTTTTTGAGACACATCTTGACTATATGTAGAGTATCAAAGTTTCTTCGGACTTGTTAATCTATTATGTAAATAGGCTGAAACAAGTATAACTGAACAGCACATTTTTGTTAGAAAACTTATCAATAATCAGGGTTACACTTAATTTAGTTCTCTAAGAAAAGGAAGCAAAATTTAACAATAGACAAACGCATTTGTTGTAATGTTAAGAAAATATGTCGGTTTTAATGGATATCTCTACTTAATTAACTGTCCGGAATAGTCACCAGCAATTTTTCTTGGGCTTAATAAGTCAACGACTATGAATACTACAATATATAACACATAATTTAGTGTTGTGCATGTCTAGTTTTTTAATAAAGAAGCTTTGCTATTTCTTGTTTGCTCATACGTTTTTTGCTAATACTATAAATTTAAATATTTCTAGTTAGCTGAAAAGCTACTGCCCGAGACATATTGGTTGACTTGAAATATGACGATAGGTATGTCGTAAACCACAGAGTTGTTGATCTATATCACCGATGTCAGGAATTTTGCGCTGGCGGAAAGATGGCACTGAAAGTATAATGATAAGCACATATAATAATAGTAATAGTGACAAAATCAAGGATAATGATATATTTAATTGACTTGAATATGTAACGTGAGTTTATGTCATTACTGTACATCAATTACACCACCAGGAAAGAATGAAGTAATAGCTACCCAGTCTGGATGTCTTTAGGGACGTAAGCTTCTATCTGGACGTAAATAGGTTCATTGAAAAGATTAGAAAACATTGGTTTTGAGAAAATTTTTGCGTCAAGCATGGAAATGGGTACGATATTTTCTCAGCATTAGCACCCTTATATCACATATACTACCATCCGCTATCCACCATTGCTATACAAATCGTGAGAAATTAGCAACAAATTACATGGATAAACCATATTTTACAAGCTAACACTAATAGGCTTTTGTGTTTTGTTTTGTTTTTAAAATAGAGAAGAGATAGACGCGAGATCACATTTGTTTAATAATTTTATTTTACAATAAAGTGATTATTAAATTAAGTCTTATTCTCTGTAAAGTTACTGCGGTTACGCACAGACCTGCTACGCACATTATGCATAACAAATAATATAACAAAACAATAGAAAAGTTACCAAGAGAGAATTAGTGTCAAAACCACATATACAATGAATCACCCTGCATGTAAACGGCAGCTCCACATGGTTCACCAGTTTGAGCAAAAGTTCTATATTATAACGAGCACGCAACTAATTAACTGTGGCGAGATATCTTTTTATTGTTTCAGATTTGACGATAACTTTGACACAAACATTTGCGATAGATAGTAATAGAATTTACAGAGAGTTTCTTAACAACAAACAACATTAATAACAGACAGTTGCATATTTTCAAGCCAACAAGCCGGCTTACCATCTTATAGCGAACACATAAGTACACTATTACGCAGGTTAATGTTGCTAGAACGCTCTAGAAATTATTAAATTCTGTCTTGCCAGCAAATGCAGCAATCGTTAAAGTAATTTTTCAACAACATGTCTGTAAAAACTAGGCTTGTACGCACGCAACATTTAGCTGGCTCTGTGAGTCTAAGGAATACGTTACTGGTTTTATTAATAACTCGCAAGTTGGTAAAGAAAACAAATTATAGAAAGAACCTAAAACTAACTGTTACGCTTTAGTCTCATGTTGGGTTGATGCTTTAAATGTGCTTGTGTAATATTATGTTTAAATTTCTAGAACGTCTAATATACAAATAATAATAATAATAATATAATTACACTCAATATATGCTCATGCCATAGTAACCATTTGAAGAGGCTGAGTAGTAGGAACTACAATGAGAGGAAGATTTACACGAATAGTGTGAGCGGTACGACCAGAGAGTCCATCATGAATTTCGAGTATTAACTCTACTTCCTCAGCGTATTTCGGTGTGACCGTTCCTTTACCGTTCGCATTCATATTTATGCTATAATGGGTGAGGACATCACGGAATCTTATATTCCAATGAGCAGTTGGGAATGCTCTTCGATTGATATCAAGGAGCCAACTCTCTCTCATATATTTTTCAAATGCTCTGGCACGATTCTTTGCCATGTTATCGATTGTTTTTCGCCCTATCGGAATTGCGAGCCCAAGCAAAAAATCGATGGCAGCAAAGAAAATATAACTCGAACCGACGGGGCCTCCGTAAGACATTCCAATAAATGGGATCAAAGCAAGGAAGAGGAACATGAGCATGAACAATCCTACGCAAATGTATGTAAGAGATCTCTTTGATTTTCTACTTAACAAAGGGTATTGTTTAATAGCGTTATTGAGTTTCGTTAGTTCATTTTGGAATTCCTGCTTATTAAGGTATCCGTACAAGTCAAGGCACCATTCTGCTTTAAAGCTATGGGCAGATGAGAAACAGTTACAACAAGGAACGTTGTCTTCGGTAAGGGGAATAATAACAAGCTTCATTGTGCGCGTAACAATACAAAAGTTTTATGGATAAAAAGAGCTGAAAGATTGGGGTCTTATATATTAGTGAAATTGCAGACTACTGAACAATTTCTCATAGTTGACCCGTTTATGACAGCAACTGGGTACAATACCTCAATAACGGCAATAGTCGACAATCGCTGTTTACATGTTCTACAGTAGTAATTTCAGATGTAACGGATGATTTGCAATTATATCGTTGGCATAATAATAAGGTTTACACATAGACTGTCTTTGGGCAAAATCAATTAGCTAGGTATTTTCTATCCAAACAAAACGTTCCAATAAGAATAGATTTACACAATCAAATTAGAAATCCTGCTACCTATTTGCATTTTGTCTTGGCTAGCAAAAACATGCAATTGAGCCTTTCAAGTTCTGCTGACTGTAGTCGTCAAGTAAAAAGTCAACGCTTTTGACAATATAAAAGAGAAACCCCATTTCTTCCCTCTCTTTACGTTCTTTGCTTAAACCGCTTGGCTCTGCATTCGCAGTATGCAGTGTGTAACGAATATCGTTACGATTTGTTGCTTTAAACAAAGCATACGATTCGTACATTATTGAGCAATAGTTAGCATGGTAAGCGCTTACAATCAACTATCAATTCACGTGCTCATTGTATTGAGCTAACCAAGGTATTAAATTTGTTTGTGGAATTTTATTTATTTATTTTTTTTGGCATCTCTTCCATAAATTGTTTTAATTCTTTCCAGTTGTTAATTTTTAACAATCCCGCACAAATATAGTGTTAGATGGTCTATCTATACATTTATATTGAATAGAAGCCTTAGCAATTCTACTTGTATACTTGGGACATTATTACTTTTTCAATAATTTGAAATATTCCGAGTTAAAAATTGTCAACGTATTTTTATTTTCCTTTTGCACACAAAAGTTCAATGTTTTTACAGAGGATATTGTTTGTCTTTCAATTTGTACCACCGTTTTGAAATTCGGTTAATGAAGTGCTACGTTCTACTGACTATCAGCTTTTACACCATAACAAACTTTGTATGGATCACATGTTATTCGTTCAAGTGAGCAGCTCATTAATATTCTTTGCTGCTTTGTTGTCTTCTCTACTGTCACTCAAAGTTGGTATCCGAACAGCATCTATACTTTGGCAAACGCTTTCACAGTCAATTGCATTATTAATGCATTTCGTTAAACAAATCTGTTGTGCTATTATAACTAGAGTAGTAAAAACCTGCTGCGCAGTGCACTGAATTTTGCAAGCGTATGATTAAATAAATGACTTTTTAGTTAGACGACAAAAAATTTAATAGACATAGGCGAGATTTGCAAGTTGCAAGTGGAAAACCATAATGCGGTATACTAAGGAATGCTATATAAATGACCTTTGACCGTAAGCTTGCACATAGCCTAAGCTAGATAATAAGAGATAAGTTATTGTGTTTAGTTGTATGTGTCATATGTATTTAGAATTATAATGGTCAACGTTATAGGTATTTAATTAGTTCTCTTATAGATATCGCCATGGTTATTGGTATGGGAGAAATTTTTGTGGCAATTTCAATTGAACGATGGTAGTTTCGTGTCTTCAAACTATTTGCAAATGTGGAGCAGTTATGTTTGTGGCTAATAATATTGTGGCTAATTAGTTAATATGTAGAACTGAATTAATTAGTTGTGGGACGAATCATTAGTGTATGTATAATCAGAAAGAAGTCACGAAATAGTTGTATACGTTGATTTAAAATATTGATCCGTGATTTGGGAAAAAAACGCAAGTAGAATATGGACTTTTAAAACATTGTTTGGATATTAAACTTATGTATCAGAGCAATTAGTAAGCGATGCTTTATACCTTACAGGCGTAGTAAGAGGATATAAATTTGTTTTTATTAAAAAAAATAAAATAAAGACAATAGTTAAAGAAAAAACAAAGGTAGTTAAAGTAATAATAGTAACGGAAGAGTGTGTTATGATAATATTGTTAAAAACGTCAAACAACTATTTTTGATCAGCTAATTTTCGAGAGGCTAACTCTCGTAGAGTTGACCGTCTTGATTTAGATGCTTTCTGATTAGTGTTTGATGGTGGGTTTTCAATCAGTTTGTCGTTGGTGGTGTCACATACTTCTTCAACATGATTGGTCTGAACTGATTGGCTCGAATCTGTTTCGTTTGTGGTGGGGTTATCAAGGCGTGGCTTTTTTGTTGGTGAGGTATTTTGTGCAATGCTCCGGACAATTGTTGCACGGCGGGATTGGGAGGGGACAATTGTACTGTTTTTGTCCGTTGATGGCGAAGAGTATTTGGGTATAACGAAAGTGGAAGTTTTGTATTTCGCAATAGATCGTGTCGTTATGCAATTCTACTGCACCTTCGATTTTAATGCGGGTGCCGGAATTGTAGACTTTTGTTCGATTTAGGAGACATGTGTTTTTTGTGGAGTGAAAGGCTGTCACCGTAAAGGGTTTATATGTACTCCCCGTATTAGTTTTGACGTATTGCGAAAGACTTACGTCAAACGATGCGGTTGTTTCTGTTATGTTTGGGGCACCAGTAACCGTGCCGATTGCTGTTACGTGAGTGAAATCATGGGGGAGGGCAGATGGATCCAAGAGAATTTTTTGTGTGTGGTGACAGGTGATGTTGATGGTTTGTGTAGACGAGTCCACGTTGGTAATGGTTCCATAGAAATAGATGACATCTTTCGGTGACATGGATACGCAATGACAAGGTGTTTCTACGTCTACTGGAATAAACTGAAGGATGTTGAATGTTATACTTTCATTGTCACTAGTTTTTGATTTGATAACCCCGTCCCGACCATAAATTCAGATCGGGGTGTGGTTTGGTAATTGATAACTTCACCAATTGATCGAATTTCCAGAGACATAATAGATAGATGATCTAAAAAATCGGAATAGACGAGCTTTTTTTATTAAGGTAAAAGATAAATTTCAAGAAGGAATATTTGATTGTGATTAGGTGCGTACTTGGAATTCAGGAGAGCTTTTTATATGTTTGCCAGAAGAGATACTGTATATATGCTGTCTGTCGTTTTTACTAAAAGTTCGAGGCATTTATTGTGTTAATTGTGTTTCGGCGGAATAGTTGGCGTATACAATGGAGACTGTTTTTGAATAATTGATATTGTAATGGTTGGTAGACTGGGAGGCTTTCATGAACGCAACAAATTGTTAGACATTCTGGGCAAATGCATTTGATTGCGATATTGTGAAGAAGCGAGTTTGATTTGTGCATGTCTACGATTTTCGGCGTAGTGCAATGACTGGCAGGCTTACCATGAGCGTAAACAAATCGTGGCAAATGCATTTGATTGATCGACATTGTGAAGAAGCGGGTTAATTTGTGTGTCTACAATTTTCGGAACAGTTGGCGTATACAGTCAAGATCATTTTGAACAATTGGTATTGTAATGACTGGTAGGCTTAGCATGAGCGCAAACAAATCGTTAGACATTCTGGGCAAATGCACTTGATTGATCGACGGCGGGTTGTATACATGCACTAAGACGTTTAAATTTAGTTTTTCGGGAATGATGGCGTATAGGTGAGACGTTCTTTTTTTATTACCAAATACTTGGTAGATTCTCCTGATTTATTAGCAGGTGTCGGCGTAGACCATTTATGTATTAGGGCATATGGCTGATCTGCGTAAACGTAAGTATACCGATTGTTGCCACATCAGAAACCATAAAGCGGATGATTGGGCAATGATGATAAGGATAGTAATGATAAACTTCTTGGTTCGGTTGAAGGAAGTCAAAGAATATAATGATTGGACAGTACGAACGAAGAAACTTTAAACTTTTCTTATTAAAACAGTAAACCAGAGGAAGTTCAAATATTTGACAATGGCATAGAAATCGCTTGACAAATCCTCAAAGATGGAGGGTGGTTATTGGGTGGCATAATTTTTTATTCGATTGGTGAGACAGGATTATTATGATATGGTACAATTTGATGGTTTTTATTTTATTATAAAAGAATAAATAAGATATGATTGATACTGTACTATTGTTTATTTGTTGTCCAAATTGGTCTAATACTAGCCGATCTGCCAGATATAGTAAGTCGTAAAAATTTTTTGCGGTAAACAATAATACGAAAATTTTTGCTATATAAACGACCTTTGTCCGTAAGCTTATACATAATAATAAGCCTAAGCATAAGTAATAAGCTATAAGCTATAAGTAATAAGTAATAAGTAATAAGTAATAAATAATAAATAATAAATAATAAGTATAATACTATTAAAAATTCAAAGGCCGTTTTTATGGCGATCTTTTCTAAAAGCAAACCAAATTTAAATAAAAGGCAAGATATACATCGCACAACTGATACCATTGGTGGACGCTGAAGCACGAGACAAATAATAAGGGGTTGGATCTTTAAAGTATGCTAATATTGGCATACCAAACTTTTTTATGTACCACCATTTTGGTATTCAATTCGCACAACCGAATTTTTTAGATTCATACGCAGTATAACCCGTTACGTTTCTTTACCAGAATTTGTTCGTTGAATAAAGATTTTTCAATAATGAAGTCACAAACTAAATATTGTTATTTTCTAAAGCACATAGGTAAACTCGATAAGTCGGACAAAATCTTTCTGCATTTTTCTTTTCTTTTCTTTTCTTTTCTTTTTTCTTTTTTCAATATTTAGAATCTTCCAGACAAGTCAGATTCCTTAATAAGTCGGACGCCAGCTTATCGAGTTTACCTTATGAAAAGCAAATTTGATTATTTTGGAAAAGCAAAACATTATCAAGTAAACAAATGTTATTTTTGTTACATACTGTCGTGTAAACATAATTATAAACACGATACTCACTTTTTCCAGGATAAATTGTCTTCATATTCACTATTGTTATATGCAGTATACAAGATGTCTATATTTAAACCAATCAGTACAATGTAACCGAAAATGCAGACGTGGTTGGTGAGGCGGTGACAAACTTGAACATTTTTGATGATAAAAGATAGGATTAAATGGTTTTGTATTTTTGAGACACATCTTGACTATATGTAGAGTATCAAAGTTTCTTCGGGCTTGTTAATCTATTATTAAATAGTCTGAAACAAATATAACCGAACAGCACACTTTTTGTTAGAAAACTTATTTACTTCCATATCCTAATTTTAACAAAGACAAACGCATTTGTTGTAATGTTAAGAAAATGTGTTGGGTTAATGGATGCCTTACTTAATTAAATAAACAAACTTTGATGAAATAACTGTAGAATAATCACCATCAATTTCTTAGACTTAATAAAGTCAACGACTATGATTATTACAGTATATGACCATACATACGGTATCCTGTTAAATAACATATTGAGTAACAAGTAATACTTGACAGTCTGCATCTTAAACGAACAAATGTCTTATTAGAGTGGGATACTAAATCGCCTAGTAAAAATTGCTTAATCCATACTTCCGAAGATTAATTAACTGGGCTGTGCATTACAACAGTGCTATAAATGAATTATTAAACTTTTTTACTATGCATACTCTAAACAGAATTGCAGATTTAATGCGTGTAAAGAGCTATTTGCGAAAATGGAGAATTTACTCGCTCAGGATTTGCCAAAAAACACACCATTAATTATTTCCTTAGTAGAATGAACAGCGGCATTAATGTTATAAACTTGCAGGTAAGGCTACTGTATTTTATATGTTAAAAGTTTCTAGCAATCTAACAGCTTAATCATAATTCAAATATGAGATTTATCGTAAATAAGAGCCAACCCCTCATCATATGACAAAATTCTTGCGCTTTACAACAATGCTACAACTCGTCACGTAACAATTGCCCGCGTTTCTTTGTTTATTGTTATTACATAATTACCAGCTGCGACGATACTGAATGAAGAATATATGATGTTGATTGGTTGATAATCAAGTGGGTTAGTTATTTTATAAAATTACAGGCCCTGGACCTTATTCACGAGAGTTTATGGTAAATTGACATAATAATAAATTTGAAGCAGTAATGAGCTAGAGAAGTAATAATTAGTGATTGTAATGTATTAATTGCTGCTAGTTTAATAAACATTATACAGTTTTTTGTATGCCCTTTTTCGCATAGTTACCAACTTGAACTCAGCAAATTTAATTTATTATTTTCCAGGTTTTTTACTTTTCAAAGTGCGTAACATCTGCAAAAAATTTTTAATTCATATGATAAAAACCTCTAGATAGTCCTAACGTATATTGCAAAATGCTCTGGAAAGCTATTGGATTTCATTATTTGTGAAGCGCACTAATGTCTTACCAATATATAGTATTTGATACAACACAGGGATACGATAAATTAATTGGTTCATTATAAAACATAATCCGATAGAATTACTGTATAAATAGGTATCTAATTGGTAAAACGTCAATTTCTTATAAATAGACGCAATTTCTTTCATTTGACTTTTATGTTCGAATGTAGATATCACGAAATTAATAAATTTAGAGTTAATAACAAAAAAAAACAAAAAACAAAAAACCGGGGAGTAATGCGGAATATAATTGATAAAGTGAAACGGGACGTACTCTATGCAGTCCATTCTATTGCTACTACTAGTTTTTTTTTAGTTTGGTATATCTTCCATATGATTGCGTACGGGAAACAGTTGGATGTACTAATAAGCTAAGCATTAAAGGCAGGATCGACCCGTAGGAGTAATGCACGTGAGCTGATGGATTAACTTAATCTGTTTCAACCAATACGATCATGTCATGCAGTAATACAAAATAATTAATCAACACTTGGCCCCGGTTAGCGTCTAATTAAATCTTCGTTTAGCGTAATTAATTATTAATTATTAATTATTTTATTTTGTGGTGCTTTGGGCTGAGTTTTTTGTTTTTGTTTTTGTTTTTTTTGAGTAGCAATCGATGATCGTCCGTATTAGTTGAGGAAGTTCATGTTTGCGGACTAGACGCAAACATTTAGCTAACTCGTTCGTTATGCAGATTTACCATCTCAATAAGTTCAAAGCAAAAACTTTTTACGTTTAGTGCTAATATCAACGTTTTATTGGACACATTGTTGATTCGGTGATATTAAAATGCGGTTATAAAATAATTAAAACCAGTTACAAAATATGCACAATTGGTAGAAAATTACAAAGTTATGATAATACAAATTGTATAAATAATAAGAGTCTAACTAAAGCCAACCATTGAGTTTTGTTCAGCTGTTAGATGATTGTATAAATATGATGTTTAAATGTCTAGAGTGTCTAACAGGCAGATAATAATTTGTTTGCCAAAATTACTTTCTCTCAGTATATGCTCATGCCACATTAACCATTTGAGGAGCATAGACACCGGTGTTATTAGTATACATTACCGGACTTGTAGTGGGTGCAAGATTTACACGAACAGTTTGGGCGGTAAGATCAGAGAGAGCATCATTGATTTCGATTACTAACTCTGCATGCTCGGCGTATTTTGGTGTGGCTGTCCCTTTACCGTCCGAGTTCATATTTATGTTGTAGTGGGTGAGAACTTCAATCCATACAAGTTTCCAATTAGCAGTTGGGTTTTCTTTTCGATTAAACTGTTCGAGCACAGGTTCCAAGTTTTGTGTAAATATTTCGGCACGATTCTTTGCCATGTTATCGACTATTTTTCGCCCAATCGGGAGGGCAAGACTAAGTAAGGCTTCGATTACGACAGTGATGGCATAAGTAGAGCCGGGATTCTTCCCAGCCGATCCGGAAAATGCAATTGCAAGTACAGCGAAGAGGATGAGTACGATTACTCCTCCGATACCATATGTGAGATATCTCTTTGACCTCTTACTCAACAATGGAAAGGCTTTAATAAAGTTATTGACTTCTCTTAGTCGAGCAGCGAATTCCTCGCGATTAAGATACCCATGCAAGTCAAGGCACCACTTTGCGTCAAACTTATGGGCAGGTTCGAAACAGTCACAACCAGAAACGTTTTGTTCAACGAGGGGAATAATGATAAGCTTCATGGTGCTTGTAATGGAAGAAGTTTTTAAGATATTGATGAGCCTTATATATAATTCCTGAACAATTTACAGAGATCTTCATATATTTATATGCAACAGCAGGGTACAACGGTACAACCCCTCAATAATGACAATCATAGTCTCACAAGAATATCGGCTGATTGTCTGTGTGCAACGGAGAATTAATGAATGATTACTTGTCATTGGCAGTGATGATAAGCATTTAATGCAAGTTTCTTTCTATGGCAAAAAAGTCATTCAGGACAATTTTATTTTTAAATCTGTCCATCCAAACAAAAAATCCCTTATCGAACAGGAATAGATTTGCACACTCAAATTAGAAAACCTTTTATTGCTTGGGCTTTTTCCCTTACTCAAACTCCCCTTGATGTTCCATTTCTAGCGGAAAACATGCGATTGGATTTTCGGTAGAATTCCATGTAGAAAATTAGCGACAATATGGAAGAAAGAATTCATTCTTTTCTTCCATATTCTTATTGTTGTTAATTCAATTGTGACTTTGTTGTCTCATGCCATGAAACGTGCTTAACCGCTTGACTAGGCACTCGCAGTATACATTGTGCAAGAGAGAAAAAAAAAAAGTTCATTACACAGCAATGCCATGCCAACTGTACTCCTATAGTCCGTACATTGTTGAACGATAATTAGTATTACGACTGCGCTCAGCATTTAATTCATATCATTGTTTCATTAAACAGTTTCAAAGTCTTTCCATTCGTTTGACTTTTCGTGTCAGTCGTAATTTTGTTGAACATGAGCTTTATAAGCAACTCTACTTAACATTGACTTACCAGGAATCTTCACTATTTCGAGCTAAAAAGTTTTTCATCCAGTGTTTTTGGGGTATAGAATAAGGTAGTATTCAACCTTATTCACCGTTTAATACACACGGTGAAATTTGGTTTAATGAGGTACAACGTTTCGCCGACTGTCTTTGTTAATACTAATGTAGACTAAACAGAATCGGACTCTGCCACTATAGCCAATTTTATTAAACCACACGCTATTAGTTCAAGTGAGCAGTCAACTTTCTAGAAAAAGTTTGGGTTTTTTTGCTGCCTTGTTATCACGTTAAATGTTATTCAAAGTTAATAATAGTCGATTGCATAACAGATCGGACGCTGTGTTAATGTTAATGCGTTTCATTAATTAAACGAATCTTCTATGCTTCTTCCGTAAATAGTACCAGCATACCAAACTTCATGATGTACCGCCATTTCGGTATATGGCGAATTCTTTAAATACTTAACGGGTAGTTTATATACTGTCTTCCAGAAAAAAGCTTGTCATAAAGCCATTTCTCGTTAAACCAGCCTTACTGTATTTCCCCTTTTTTGTTGTCTTGTTTATGAGATTGAGCAATTGACATGCATATAGAGTAGTAACGAAGACTGGAGACAGTAATGTGAGAAATGCCAAAGACTTAAATAATTGGATGGTTCTGTTTGGTCAAACCGTTTTCCCCTTAATCGTTGTAAGGGGTGTTTGGTTTGTGCCTTGATTTCATAAGTGTAGTACAGCCTGATGCTTTACCAGAGTTGAACAAGGATTTTTCAGCAGCAATAATAAGATATTGTTATTTATTTTATTTTCTAGATAAAGCAAACTGGATTATTTTGGAAAGGTACGTTATCAAGTAAATAATATTATTAAACATAATACGCACTTTTCCCAAGACAAATTGCCGTTATACGCAGCGTATATATTTAATATTAACCAAATCAGTATAATGTAACCGAAAGCGCAGATATGATTGGTGGTCTATAACTTTTTTTCAAAAGATAGTATTTTTTTCGTGCAAATTTAACTTTAAGTGGAGCATCAAAGTTTTTTTCGGACTTGTTTGATTCTGTGCCTTCTCAACAGCTTGATCCCTCTGGAAGTGGCGTCGCCGAAATTGTTTAAACGACATTTCCACTATTTATCCGGCCGATGGACACATTATAACTGATAGATAACATCATGCGGTCTCGTTGCAAAAAGTATTAAATTCGATCGGGTTATCAAAGCTGTTGGGAAGGCACCTTATTGTGTAAACAGTCTGAAACAAGTGTAGACAAGAGTTAGTGTATATGTAAGTTTACCGCGGCGTACTCTAGAAAAAGGCAGGCTTGTTTTAAACCAGCTTAGAACGAGACGTATTGTTCAACCAATTTACAACACACTTTTTTGCTAGAAATCATATTAAATAATCGCGTTACGCTTATAAACGGCCTTATATCTTAAATTTTCGATAAAATGTTTCTAACAAAAAAATACATTTGTTGTAACATTAAGAAAATGCATCGAATTAATAGATTGCCCTACTTAATTAGTCGCAAGCAAATAATAAAATTTAATTGAATTGAGAAAATAACTGTAGGAATAATCACCGATGATTTTTTTAAGTCAACTGTTATAAAATTATTTGAATTGCTACAGTATTCTGTCAATAATACCAGAGTGATGCCTGCCAGCCTGCATCTTAAAAAATTTTTCTTATTAATTTTCTAGTCAGAATACACTAAAAGTTGATCCATACTTTCAGATATTAATTGGACAACAATGTTACAAAATAAATTTATAAACGTTTTTACCATGTATGCAAACTACTAGCCAGAACTTGCACGTCTTTAAATTTAACTGCATCGACATTACAAATGACTTATAAGCTTGCCGGTTAAACTATCAGGCTACTGCATGTTTCAATAAAGTCTAACACCTTGGTCCAAACTCAAGTTTGAGATATATAGTCGATATAAACCAAACGCATTGTATCAAACACATCATAGAGATAAACCACTTTTTTTATTTAAGCGATAATGAGTTAACATTAACTTTACATATGTTTTATGATGTATTAATTGACAGCTTTTTGTATGCATAAATACCAACTTTAAACAGCAAATTATTAATTTATTTTTTTTTTCAAAACAATATAGAGTTTTATCCATGTGATAAGACAGCAACTCTACATGGTTTACAGGTTAAGCATGACCAATAAGACGTACGATCCTGTCATTCAAAATTCTGTTAGTTTATAGATTTGCGATGTTTTGCAAAAGTTAAATAAGTACACGTAGTTGAAGTAGAACATGCATCAAGTAATTAAGAATTTGGCGATATGATTTTTATATCTCGTATATGCATAGATTTAATTAACGCTTTAGCAAAAAGACAATATTAATTCTCTCACACTGGTAAAAAGTTATCTTTATGTGATCTATCGACTTGGATAAATCAATTCGTGCATTCATATAGAATAATAGTTGGTAAAAACGTCTATTTATTTCTTATAACTAGACGTAATTTCTCTCATGTATTTTTTTGTTCGAACAATTACTTATTCAGGGGTCACGAGATCAATAGATTCAGCGTTAATAACCAAACACACGCAAACGAATAAAACGGGGAGTAATATTCGTTGATTACCTATTACTATTACTAATTGTTTACAGGATCGACAGTTGTCGAGGCCAGGCGTGTGTAATCAAGAAATATCGCCATTGCTCTTCTTAATACTGGTACGACACGTGATAGCAACACTTTTTTTTACAACTCGTTACTTTAATCAAGTAAATCCTGCCGTTAATAGTAATATAATTTTTAGTACATATTTGCATGTTAAATATTTAGCTAGCTCTGTGAACAAGCTTGCTATACAGATACCATCTCAATAAGTTCAAAGTGAAAATTTTTAAATGAGTTTACTTTTCTTTATAGAATACATCAAGTTAAACACTTTTATTCGGTAATAATAAAATACAATTTATAATAACAATAGACGGTTTAAAATAATAAAAAATTACAAAGTTATAATGCCAACAAAACAAATAACAAGAGTCTAGAATCTATGAATATGATTGATGATGTTTAGTGTCGATAGTGTCTAATAAGCGGATAATAATTCGTTTGTCTCCATATATGCTTATGGCACAGCAACCATTTGAGGAGGATAGGTAGTCTTGATATTAGACACCCTAGGAACTGTGGTGAATATCATCGGAGCTGTGGTGGACACCATAGAAACTGTAGTGGGTGCAAGATTTATACGAACAGTTTGAGCGGTAAGATCAGAGAGAGCATCATTGATTTCGATTACTAACTCTGCATACTCGGCGTATTTTGGTGTAGCTGTCCCTTTACCGTTTGAATCTATTTTTATGCTAAAATGGGTGAAAACAACACGCCATACAAGCTTCCAATTAGCGGTTGGGTTTTCCTTTCGATTGAACTGGTCGAGCACAGGTTGCAAGGCCTGCGAAAATAATATGGCGCGATTTTTTGCCATTTGATCGATTATTTTTCGTCCAATCGGGAGGGCAAGACCAAGAAAGGAATATATTATGAGAGTAGTAGTAGGACTACTAGGTTCCTCTGTGGCAGCAAATCTGAGCAGAAGGACGATAAAAAGCACGAACAGGGCCACTCCGGCGACAGCGTACGTGAGATATTTTTTTTGCCTCGTGCTCAACAACGGATAATTTTTAATATAGTTATTGATTTCTCTTAATCGAGCAGCAAATTCCTCGCGATTAAGATATCCATGCAAGTCAAGACACCACTCTGCGTCAAACCTATGGGCAGATACAGTACAGTCGCAACCATGATTATCTTGTTCGACAAGGGGGATAATAATAGACTTCATTATGCAAGTAACGAAATTAACAAACAGGGTTTAATTTACTTTCGAAAATATGTCCACTGAACTACAAAACTTCTGGAGGTGAGAGAGAGGGACTATATATATTAATTAGTGAACAATGCGCGGGGGTACAACAATCACGGCCATATATCCATTAATGTGCCCAGCGAAGGGAACAATGTTTCACAGTAATATTACATGGCCGATCATCTGTGAAGCAGTACTGCCACGCGTGATTGGTATAATGTCAAGTTTTTAGAGTGTCTATAATCATAATAGTATTAATATTAAGATTAAGATTGAAGCCCGGTAACAAAACTGTCGAACCGCTCTTGGAACAGTTAAAATTTACAATGATGTTTCCTTTGGGTTGGGTGGGTCTGCTGAAATAATAACAATTCCAAAGAGTACATAATAATAACCATGCAGTTTTTTGTACAATCGCAATGATGAAACTTCATTAATGAAATGAGTTTAATTATAGCGTTTTTATATTACACAAGCTGTAAGCCGGCCAACAGCTCCAGTCGGTCTTAGTTGAATGTACCTCGATAAGCCGGTCCACGTGATTTTTTCAAATTTAACTGGTTGATCACAACTCGTACGGTAATTATCAACTGGTTGTAATTATCATTCGTAAAATCAACAAAATTAATCCAAGATACAGCGAACCCTCCATATATGCCCACCCTCCACCATGGCTTGTTCCCAAGCTCGGGAATTAGGAAATCGATGCACATCCTCCATATCCTACATCATTTCCCATTATATGATTTCGCCCGTGATGTTCATGTGATTTGCACAACAATAGTGGTTTGAAACAGGTGTTTGAAACGGTCAAAGTTATGACGATCTGGCCATACAAAGACAGCGCACCGAAATTAACTGGCATCGTTTACCAATGGATTTAAGTCATTTTTAATAAAGATTATCTTTGTCGTCATTAACGAAATCTTTATCGATCGAATTTATTAAACACATAAACTTCTTTGTTAAACGGATACACACTTAATAAGTTGATGCGATACATGTTAGAACATCATCAAAGTGAACTCATCTTATTAGTCACTACTCAAGTCCCAACTACACAAATATTAAAAGCCATTTCCAATAATACACAATATTGAATATCTACACACGAACAAAATGCCGTCTTCTTATCTGGCATGAACTCTGTTTATATGCTCGTCAAAACGATAAATTAACCAGGAAAGAATATATCAATTAATATTAATGTAAAATCAGTGAGTTTAATGAAACAAACGATAATAATTTACTCTGTCGATTAAATAAATATCTGTTCAGTCAATAAATGCCCTCTATACAACTCTATACATGCAACCCACGCTCTGGCCCATTCCCAAGACCGTGCGTTCACAATATGATTCGTTATGCTCGCACTATTACAAACGTAATTCCTTGCTATTTATAGATTGAATCATTATGTTAAAATCGCCATGTCAAAAAAGGCAATTTGTATTACATAAGTCATGTACTTGTCAACAACGATCTCAAAACAACGTATATTCAAAACACTCTATTTGTCAAGTTCCCAATACAACATGAATTTGGAATTACTGAGTATGATCCATTTATTTCACCTCATGTTCCCGAATAGGACATACAATATGCCAGTGATCTATTACGTGTATACTTTCGTAATCGCCAGTCCTTACTTGTTTGTTGGTAGATCCATTCGAACAGGACTACCCCGAGACAATAGAACAAATACTGTCCGATGGTCCCACATTATCGGTATGCTTTAATAGAAGAGGCACTCTATTAGCTGGTGGCTGTTCGGACGGTAGCTGTATAATATGGGACTTTGATACGAAGGGTGTTGCAAGGAGGCTGCATGGTCACGTCTCTAAAGTCACTAGTGTCAGGTAAGGGTTTACAAACTGTCGTGTTCTTCCCCCCCCCCCCCAATCACATGCTTACTCTGTACGTGAATGGCATAGTTGGTCGCGTAATGGGCGATTTCTATTGACTTCGGGCGACGATTTCAAATGTCACTACTGGGATTTACTCAAAGATTCCGCGCGACCTATAAGATTCGATACTGGGGTGTTGATGGCACAGATGCATCCAAAAAATAAGTTGGTATTTGAGACATCAATAATCTCTAGCTTTTTTTTTTTTTTTGGTTTGCTTTTTTAGGGCCAACGAAAAGGTTCACATGCACTGATTGTTGATTCTTGCTTGTTCTGTTTTCCATTAGTAATGTTTTTGTTGCTGTATTGCGACACAAACCTGCTGTGCTTGTCGACGTAATGAATGACGAGTGCATTGAACTACCATCCATGTTGGACGAGCTATACGATGGTAATGGAGACGCTAGTGAGAAAGATGCTATTAACAAACTAAAGTAAGAATAAAAACTCGTTGTGAGTACCATTACATTAGTTACATCATCATATATTGCCTTCTTCATCCCATGTACAATATGTACATGCCCAGCTAACGTTTGTTCATAATTTTTTTTAAATATTTCCAGCTCTCTCCTTTGCTGCGCTTTCGATCATCGTGGCGAGAGAATCTTTACAGGAACCAGCAAAGGGTATTTCAATATAATCGATATACAAACACGTAAAGTGAGGACGATTTTACATTTTAAAGGTTGGATACTCTGTCAGTGTTTACGCGCCGATGTTCTCACCGTAATCTAGATCGTTTTCAGTCAGCAGATTACAAGTATTGGCATAAAACAGATTAAACTCAGCAGGAATGGCAAGTACGTTTTATGCTCTACTTGGGCAGATACGACTACTATTGCGTATTGATTGTTCACGTTTCCACCCCGATCAGGGACATACTAGTCAATTCGAATGATAGGACTATTCGTCTTTTCAGTTTGGATGAAAATGGCATGCCGGTATCACGACATAGCTTTATGGATCGTGTCAATAGAATGCAATGGAACCAGTGTTGCTTTAACCGTGATGGAGAATATGTCATCGGAGGTCTGCTGCATTATCAATACAATTATATATTCGTCATGTTTGCGTGTACGTTCTGCCATTCATTTGTTTGGTTTTTACTCAATATTTGTGATGGTAATTTTATTCCAAGGCTCTGCACATAAGGCAGGACATAACATCTACATTTGGGACAAGAATCTTGGGAGTCTAGTAAAAATGTTGGAGGGCCCAAAAGACGAGTTGGTAGATCTTGCATGGCATCCGGTACGCCCCGTAATCGCATCGGTCTCCACACAAGCTTATATCTACATTTGGGCAACAAATTACCAAGAGAACTGGAGCGCATTTGCACCAGACTTTAAAGAGCTAGAGGAAAACATTGAATATGAAGAACGCGAGGATGAATTTGACATAATAATGGAAGAAGAGGCAAAACGCCAGCAGGAAGGGGAGGATATCGAAGTAGACGTGACCACAGTCGACAAACCAACTCTAAATTCAGAAACAGAAGACGAAGACGAAATGTTTTATATTCCTACTAAACTCGATCCACGAACAGTTATCGATGAGGGTGAAGTCGAGGATCCAATGGATCTTCGAACAACATCAAATTTAGATAAGCCTATGCGTAAAGGCAAGGTCACAAAGAACGATAAAGGTAAGAACAAGCAGAAGAAACAGAGCAAGCATGACAGGAGCGGCTCTGATGAGTTCCCCCAGAATCAAAAAAAGAAGAAACAGAACAAGAACAAGGATTAGTCGTAAAATTATCAGATATATATAGAATGCAATTTTAAGTTTTCTATAATCCTTTATTGAAATTTCTCTATTTGAAAAAATAAATAACCGTTTTGAGTTGATTCTATATACAAAACCAAATTTTTATTCAAGCAATGGCTTCGATGGGTGGAGGAAAGAGTCGCGTAGAGAGAATTAATAAATCAAAGACATTTGGGTAAAACGCTAAACGGTCTGACGGGTTTGGTTGATTCCAAGTCTAGAGCGTACCATAAGCACTTTTTGGCACGCTCGATGCGGTTTGTTGTCTCAAAGACATTGCCAAGGAAATACCTTTGCAAATTAAAAGCAAGCTCGTTAATAGCTCAAAGCGGGCTATAACTACATTGGGACAAATTGAGGACTTACCATGCTTCTGCGCAGTCCCACCCATTCCCTTTGGTTACACTGTCGAGCACACCCTCTGCCATTTCAATGTTGCCCGTTTGGATATACGTTCTGCCTAGGTGCACCAAGCTTGGGACATGCTGTGGATCTATTGAAATAGCTTTATGAAAGGCAGAAATAGCCTTGTCATAATTTTCTTGAGCGAATTGAAGGAGGCCAAACTATACATGCGAGAGAAAAGATTGGCAATTAATTAATTGCCGAGAACATAAAAATGCACTTTATTTATTCTCGACGCCACACTTACTTGACACCAAACGTCTGGGTTTGCACCATCGATCTCTTCAGCGTTCTGTATGGCCTTTAGTGTTTCTCCGAGATCATCTTGCCTTCTAAACGATGAAGCCGTCGACAACCACAGCGTGACCAGCTCTTTAGCCGATCTTTGCCGTCGTTGACGTATTCTTGCTGTTGGACGAGAGGTAGAGCTAGAGCCCACGACAGATTTTGCGGAAACAATGCCACTTATAGTTGGAGTGGGGCTCTGACCAATACCTGATCCAGCGGAATTTTTTGATGAGATGGAGGTTGCGTAAGTTGTCTTTGGAACGTCTACGTGAAGAACAATAATACAAGTACAGAAGACACGAATAATTTAAAAAATTGATTTTTCATTTTGGAAGTGAAATACAAAAGAACCCGTTTGTTATAAAAAACCCTACCTAATTTATCTCGATTTGTCACAGATAACACCGTATCATCAGTGACTTCTCTTCTGCTATTCGAATAACTGCGAGCGCTACGCGTACTCCCCGGAGGCTTCATCGATGAATTAATTGTGTCTTCATTCATATCACGTTTGCGAATACTGCTAGTTTCATAAGGGGAAATGCCGCCATCAGGAAACACCCTTCCATATAACGTAAACAAACTCTCACGATTCTGTAAAGCCGCATCCGGTCCATTCACGAGTTCTTGCAATGTATTTTGAGTCATTTTAAAACTAAAGAATTCTTCTCCGTCGTCATTTCCTGCGCCAATCAAGATCTCTGCAGGGGAATCGGTCGTTTCCCATTCGGAATCTTTGACACCAAGCTCGCATGCCGTTAGTGCACTCTGAATATCTTTTTGTGCAGAGAACGAAAGTGCCAAAAGATGCCAACATGGAATGTTCTTGTCATCGATGCGTAAAGCCTTTTCGATGGTGGAGATTGTTAGTCTAATATCACGTGTTATGGCACATTCTAGTGCTAATTGATATAACGCCTCGACAGACTCTGGGTCCAACTCTATTGATTTTTGGAGTGCGGATATTGCCTCTTCGTGGAGGCCAGGTCTCTTATCGGGGTCAAGTTCTTTTTTGAGGAGATAAAAAGTATAATGAGCGTTTGTGTGTGTCAAGCAATTCTGATCCAAAATCTGTACAATTTGTTTATATACCTTCGCGAGCAGCTACGCTGTGAGCAACGCCAACACACCTCCATACATATGCCAAAAGCTCATCATCTGTTGTGGATGTTTCTTCAGAAATCTCTACAGCCTTTTGCGCATATTGCAGTGCTTCCTTTGGCTAAGATAAGATATAAAGAAGGATGCATGTGTTCAGCAAGCTATTATACGGATTGTGACATAGGACACACTAATTATAAGAATTTTCTACAATAGGGATAAGTTTGTCATAGGTATATCCGTTGATATTGGCGGAAATGTCCATTACCCCAACGAAAATTTGATATCAACCAAAAATTTTACCTTATTGAGATATTTTGCCATTAGGTAAACCCCCCTCAATACTGTCTGAATGACATTGCTTGCATCTTCAATTTCACAGAACTTTTTTGCTGAAGATTCTGCATGATGTAGTTTACGCTCCATATCTTCTCTTTGAGTCTCTTTGGCCTTTTCCACCAATGCAATATACGCATCAAGTGCCAAAGCTGCCTCATCGTATTCACCCAATGCAATTAAAGAATTAACCAAATGCCGCATAATTAGGGGTGAGTGGAAGGTTTTCTTCGCTGCTCGATACAGCATCTGTTTGCGTGTTTTATGTTCAGATAATAAGGATCTCAACAGTCTTCAATGACATGGAATAAAACTAACATATGTTATGACGATTCAAAACCTCGACAACTCCTCGAATTTCCAATATGGTTCCACCCCCCAACAGAATCCAGTCTGAGATTATCTGATCCACCATTTCGAGTACTCTCCAGTTGACTTCTCCTGCTTGAGGAAATTTGACTATTTGATAAAGAACATTTTCGTAAAGCGAATGCAGTTCGGTCAATTCTTGACGGAATGTGCGCGGAGCAGATGAATTTTGCTGGTCGCTAATTGACAAATGAATTGTTAGAAAACATGGTAATTAACGGCAAGAAAGATCAGAAATTCGTGTGATATAAATACTTTGATCCGACGGATGGATAATCATCACTTGGGGGGACATATTCATTTGCATTATAGATATTTGAGAGAAACTTTATAAAATGTCTAAATATAACAGCTCTTTTGTTGATCCTAAACGTACTCCACGTGGCGGCATAAACCTGGTAAGTACGAAAAGATCGAAGTGCAGCGCTGACATTTCTACAAAAACATTATTCATGAAATGCAATTAGCACCAGACAAAGTATGCTCAGCAATCACATTCACCGACACTTTACCCGTGTCTCACATTAAGCAATGAAGATCGATATAACGCCTCCTCCGCCCAATACATTGCTTGATCGCATTTCTCGCCTGGTTGTTGAGCCAACTGATGAGCAACTTCATTGTAGCATTTAACGGCACCTTCAGCATCGCCAGTTAATTCGAGCGCCGTTCCTAAGGATGGCGTACGGGTAATGATTAATATTAAGCATACAACAAGTTTAGCAAACAAGATACACCAATGATCTCAACTAGCCTTTGACAATTAACCTCTGGAGGAGCAATACAAAGTTATACCCAACAGGTGATTTTGTGGGTACACGCAGAGCATTCAAAGTTTCTAAACATTCCTTGTACTTTCCAACCACAAACAAAGCGCGACCAAGCACTGTAAAGGTATACTATTTCAGTCAGATCAAGCTCGTTAGTAGTTCAACAAACTTGCCATCGGGCTGTTCTCTCTCACTTAAATCAAAGTATTACATCTTTGTTAGCATCGTCAATTCTAGCTTTGGCATTTTCGAGTCTGCCAAATACACCATCAGTAATCTCGCTCTCGTCAATAATAGGAGGCAGCGTTATATAGTCTGGGCCATCGCCGTCGTAGGCAGAAAGAGAGAATTTTGCTTGTTTTTCCTTTTTCTGAATTGCTTGAACTAGTTCATATTCTGCCAGTGCCGTCTGTTCCAATACTATTTAGTTTGTGCAGGATGCATTTTATCAAGATTTTGTCATGTTTATATAGGTATTACCAGCAAACAATAAATGATAATTCTAACCTACTCCGTCTGGATTATGCTTTTTATACTTGCGCGCGAGTTCAGGAATCTCATTCCAGTTTCCTAATGTGAGACAAGTTGAAGCAGGGTTATTGAATGCAAACTTCCTTTCCGAGCCACTATTCTCCACATTGTCGGGACGAGTAATACTGTAATTTATTATTACCTTTGCACCTCGCCGTATCAAGCTCTTTTTCTTTGAGGGCGGCCTTTGTCGAATTCGTCATTAATGTTTGAAACCTTTTTCGCAATAATTTCAGTAATAGTAACGGATTTGTGTAAAATATGTGAACCAGTAACCAGTCACAAAATTCCTTTTCTATCCAAATTTGCTAGAATGCAATTTGTTTTTCCAAGTACATACATATTAATATGTACTATGCCGATAATCTTAGAACTTAAACCGCATGTCTCCATCAGGGCTCTTTTCTTTTTTAAAAAAATGTGTTAAGTATTGTACATACTTCCAACAATTACAATTGATTACGTACATGGGCGAAAAGTTTTGCTTCATTTAATTAAAAAAGAAACCGTCTTTTTGATGGCAAGTTAAAGGGGAGGTAGGGCTCATAAGCTCTTGCCAAAGAAAGTGGAAAGATTTCTTTATTGTTTAATAAGTTATACAGTGTGGGACAAAAAAAACCGGAATTGCAAAATTATGCATTACGCAAGAACCAATGGTGCAAATAAGATGAATTTTATACCATTTGAAAGCTGAAAATAAAATAATTTAGTATGGAATGCGTTCACCGTTATTTTCTCACATCGGCGTTTCATTGATCGTACTAACCCAATTAGGGTTTATTGTGGAATATCATCCCATAAAACGCCGAAATTGCTAATATTTTTCGCATTTTCTTTTCTATATTTCTTTTAACAATACTCCAGAGATTTTCGATTGGGATTTAGGTCAGGACTGTTAGAAGACCAGTCCATTACTTCGGGCATGTTATCCCGAAGCAAGGCGGCTAGTATGTTTTGGATCGTTGTCTTGTTGAAACCGCCATTCGTCTCCTAGCAAGTCTTCAATGTCTGGAAGATGTTTTCGGAGTATGGATACATAAATTATTGACCATTAAAACAGTATAAAATCATCTTATCTCTTATACAGAAGCAAAGATCTTTAGGATTAGGATTAATATTAACGGCTCCAGGTTGTTCGAGTTTTTTTAATGTTTTCATAAACCATACTGTGGGATAACCTTGCGTTCATGAATATCTGCATGCCTTGATCCCACAATTGTTGTATAGCTCGGCGATTTCTCTCTTGTCTGGAAGTCATCGTTCTAATTGATGTTTCTTGAAGAAGTTTTAGGAATGTCGAATTTAAGAAATAGGATTAGTGCAGAATACCTATAAATTAGCGGTTCAAAGTGAATGAATATAAAGTTCTTTATCTGACAATTATTTACAATTTACATTGTTTAAATCGATGCACGATTGAATGTTACAGCCGGTTTTTTTTTTGTCCCACATTGTAAGAAACCTGTCGACACTGACTCGAATTCAATAGCACAATTATCTGTTTTATTAATTTTAGCAGGGGAGATAGCTGACAGGGTGCAAGTAATATTAATGTTTATTGAATTGTTTGGATAATAATACATGATTGTTATGTAATATGCTAACAATGGTAGTCTTTTATCTTATTTGGATCAAAATACTAACAAATTGACATGGAGGATGAAATTATAGCATTTGAAGGATATTGCAATTCATCAGAGTAGAGTGATATTCATTCTGTGGAATTAGTACATTGCAATCTTCATGCAGAAACATAGTTGTGCATGATGGTGATTATGAGACACAATCCTTCATATGTGATCTTAGTCAGGAAATAAGACATATATTCTTTTGGTATTATTATGCATTTGATGGCCACTGGTGAACCACCATTTGGAGATAGGCAAGTTTGATAGAGACTTAATATGCGATATTATGGGTGCATTGATGCCTGAGCAATGCTGTGATGCTGATCCTGATAAGCGTCCATCCAATTCATTGGAAACCTATAATCGTATCAAAGATGTGCTACAGAATAATTCTAGCAATAACATATGGGATACCGTCTATCATAATGATGTAAATCCCTTATTACAGTACGTCTCGAAAAGGAGATTTGAATACTCTGGTAAACTCTTACTATTACCTGCTGGATATTTGTCCAAACAGAGAAACAGTTATGATTTTATTCAGTTGCAGGTATGACTACAACAATTGGTTACATCTTGATATTAAATAAAGTCAATTTACAATATTAACGTCGCCCATTTAAATTGTCTTATAATTTAGTGACTCAAAAAATTTTAATAAAACATTCTTACGCGAGTTTTATGGCAAGAGTTTGCCGTCTTCCAATTATATGATCGAGCCGAGTTAATAAGATTTCAAATAAAAATTGGAGACATGCTTCGCAGAAATTAATGCTAATTAGATTTTTTTTGTGGGTTGATTCATAAAATTAATTGTACGTACGTATTCATATCCTTATTTGTAAGTATCTCTAAAGACGAGATGGAAATTGTTAATGAAGAATGTATTGCTGTATATTTTAAATATTATGACTTATCCGTAAAGTTTATTGTCGGGAAAATGAACGGCTTTCACCCAATATTATTTTGTATCGATATGCGCGTAAGCTACATATCGATAGATAACCAAGGCATTTTATTGAATTTACATATTGTTATGATTGAGCAGTAAATTGGTTAGAAGAATGTCGGATTCAACTTTGTCGTTTGATACTTTGCAATCCATTGATTCATTAATAGAAAGTGAATAGAAAAGGGGAATATGGCTAATGGTAATATACAACAAAAATCAAAACATAATGTGACACTGACGTCCAAATTTCATATAAAAGCGAATTTCGAGAAACAGCTTATAGCGAGTGTATAGTTGACGGGTTGACTTTTAAAATTAAAATGTATTCTTGGAAAAGTGTATTACTTCTCTTTGCTTATCTTATCAGCCTGAATATTACTTCTTTACCATTATTTGTTTTTTGCTATTATTAACAAGATAATTGTTTTCATGACAAATACTGCGTTGATACGTGATTGACGGTTAGTGCAGCGCTTATGAGGTTTGAGAAATTCAATACTTTGGCGGACATCGCAAAGGAAATGTTAGATGTGGTTAATTCACAACATTCTGAGAACGGGAAATCGGTTTACCTGAGGAAATTTAGTATGTGCCTACTAAGAGCGTCTGCATTGTGGTGCATACACAAATTGTTGGACTTTACGGTTTGATGAGGTGCAATGTTACACAATAAAGAGTTGAATATGTCGTTAGTTCCAGGGGTCAAGAGTATGTATAATCCAGCAATTGACAACTTGGTCGCAGCTAGCAAACTTGGATGGATTCATTACTCGGAGATTGCCGACATAGAGTCAAGTCAAATTGGCAACGTCTACTACGCTAATTGCACGCAAACATTTAACAATGGCAGCGTTAATAAAAAGCTGATGATGCTGGTATTGCTTGGAAGTGTCGAAGAATGTAGAACAACACTCGTGAGCGAGTTTGCCAGAATATACTCACTTTCGGCCCACAGTAATTATAATGGCAATAACTTCAGAAGATATTCTATATGGCTTTATCGTCACAATTGCTCAATAATAGGATTCACCGAGTACGACGATAAATATTATATGGTTGCTGATAGATGCTTTTACCAGTGTTATTCTCTCTATGGATTCTGCTCCGCATGTGGAATACTCAGACGTAGTCCTGTGTGGTGCATCTGTGGACATAAGGAATTATCCTATGGATGGACTAGCAAAAATAAACAACTCGATGAGTTTATTAAGAAATCTCAATTACAAACAAACTCAGCAAATGATGCCTATTTGGAATGGATTCCATTGGATTGTAATGTTAAGTCGGGATATTATAACGGGTGCGATCTACCTACTTATGAAGCGACTAAATCCATTCCACTTGAGATAACAGATGAGACAGACTATTTATATTATGACAAGGTGACTATCAAGTATGAATATGTTAATGGTTTAGATAAATATTGACTTATGTATCATTTGCTAGTTATGTGATGAACATCCCGATATTCTTATTAACAATGATTGGATTACCATCGGATTCACATATGATATATATGAACGGAAGTATTGTCTAATAAAATGTGAGGATGGATTATGTCTGGCATGTACGTATCGATTAGAAACTAAGAATGCATTCTGTTATCGGTGTAAAGCACCAAGACCTCTCGATTGGACTACGGGCAACAAATCTTTGGATTCATTCATTATGGAATCGTGGAATAATACTAGGCATAGATATGATGCCCATATCCAATGGATTGAATACTCTCTATTAAAGAACGTACAACGGATGACATTGTTACGTCATGAATGCACACATATAGCAGATTGGTTAGAACCGACGGCAAATGAATGGACAAAAGTGACACTCAAGCAGATAGTAATAGGTGATACTCAGTCGCTTGATTTTCAACAGGTAAATTATTTCCCGTGTAAACAATGCATGTGGTATTTCGCGTGTTAATTGACGATTGTTGACATTAATTGTATTTTTAGCTAATTAAGGAATACCCAGCGATATTAACTCCAGATAATACTTGGATAATCGGAATCACTCAAGAACCATCTACTCAAGCATATCATTTAGTTTTCTACAATGAAATACGTCCAATATTAGACAAAATTATGCAACGTTACGAATATCTAGCACATATGCAGTATACCGACTTTTATGAACTCAAAGAGATCGGATCTGGTGGTTACAGGACAGTCTATGCTGCCAAATATAAGTATTCGGAAGAAGAGAATATTCCAGAAACTGTTGTACTAAAACGCTTTAAGAGTTATGATAAGATGCCGGAATTATTTATTAACGAGGTAAGCAATCTTGATATTATTAACTAAAGGAATATTTTAACCTGACTTTGTATTTATTTTATTTAATAGTTCAGAAATCATGCAAAGTGCTCCAACTGTTCTTACACATTCCTTGAACTTTATGGAGTCACACAAGACCCAGTAACAAAAGAATACATGATTGTTATGCAGTATGCTAACAACGGTAGTCTTTTAACTTATTTGGGTCAAAATATTAACAAATTGACATGGAGGATGAAATTAGAGCATTTGGGAGATATTGCATATTATCTGAACGATATTTATAATGCAGAATTAGTGCATTGTGATCTTCATGGCGGAAACATAGTTTTGCATGATGATGG